TTTTCAGGATTCTTTGATGAATAAAAAGTTAAAAAGAACAGCATTTATTCAAAATATAAATCTTTTCTAACAATATAAATCTTTGCTATCGCTTCTTAACAATTTAACACGTCCTCGCTGAATAAAAGTTTTAATTTCTTTCAAAAAAAGAAAGAATAAAAATGTACCGACCCCAAACTTTTGAACTGTAGCGTATATTGTTAGAAAAGATTTATATTTTAAATAAATGCTCTTCTTTTTAACTTTTTATTCATCAAAGAATCCTGAAAAAGTATCACAGCTTCCAAATAAATATTGTTTATAGCTCTGATAATAAATCAGCATATTATACTGATTTCTGAAGATCATGTGACACTGAAGACTGGAGGAATGATGCTGAAAATACAGCTGCGCATCACAGGAATACATTACATTTTAATGTATATTAAAATAGATAAACGTTATTTTACATCATAATAATATTTCACAATGCTACATTTGTCCCTGTGTTTTTGATCAAATAAATGCAGCGTTGACGAGCCGAAGAAACTCCAGTAAAAACATTAAAAATCATTCTGATCCCAAACTTTTGACCGGTAGTGTCTATTTGTATACTAAACTAACATTAGATTAATCAAATGTTAAAATAAAACTAAAGTTGTCCTGCTGAACGTTGAAGTTGCAGTGGTCGGGTGAAGGGTCTCACCGTCTCCTGATGCCATGTGTTCGAATCCCGGCTGGTTATGCGTGAGGTTGTGATGAGATGCCATCATGCTCTGGTTACAGTAGGGGGCGCCACTGACACCTAAAACAACATCAACACTGTTAGTGCCTTTCACACTCAGTTAACGTGAGACTCCTCGTCTGCGTCTGAGAGCGCTCACTCTCTGGCGGAGGCATCCCTCGGTGTCCCATCATGCCGTGCGGCGGGGGGGCGTGTGGCGGCCGCATGTAGGGGTCCATACAGGCTCCTGGGGTCATAGAGGGGTTGTACATCTCTCTGCTGTCAGGCGGCGCCACACACACAGACGACACCTCGCTGTAGACCGATCTGACAGACGGAGCCAGTCTGCACACAGAAACACACTTACTATTAATTATTTATAAAATGATTATTTAAAAAAAATTATATATACACACATACTTCAATGAATCGTTATAAACACAAAATAAAATATATGAATACAATTAAATACATGCATTGAGAGCACATACAGAGAGTAGAAGAAAATGTAGAAGTAGGTTTAATACATATATGTGACCCTGGAGCACAACGCCAGTCATAAGTGTCTGAAAATTTAGATTTATGCATCATCTGAAAGCTGGATAAATAAGCTTTGTTAGGATCGGACAATATTTGGCTGAGATACATCTATTTGGAAATCTGGAATCTGAGGGTGCAAAAAAATCTAAATATTGAGAAAATCATCTTTAAAGTTGTTCAAATGAAGTTCTTAGCAATGCATATTACTAATCAAACATTAAGTTTTGATATATTTACGGTAGGAAATTTACAAAACATCTTCATGGAACATGATCTTTACTTAATATCCTAATGATTTTTGGCATAAAAGAGATAATAATAATGTATTGTTGGCTATTGCTACAAATATCCCCCAGCGACTTAACACTGCTTTTGTGCTGCAGCGTCACATTTGTGCTTTAATTATTATTAATTATTTAATTATTATTTTTCTAAGTTAATGATTTAATAATCAATATTTAATAATTAAATTAATTATTATACTTATACGTAAAAAATATATAAATTTATATTTAAATATATATATCTGATTTACATTATTTTACGCTCTATACTGTATATATAGAGAGCACAGAAAAATTATAAGTATGTTTAATTCATATATACTTAAAGTACATCTTAATTAAATTACATATATAATTTATTTTTATAAATTTTAGATGTAATTTTTTTTAAATACACACATACAGAAGTAAATATAGAAATAGGGCTAATACATGTATTTACTATATATATATATAATGTTATGTTATGTGCTATATGTGTGTGTGTATAGATAGATAGATAGATAGATACATGCATAGATAAATACAATATATATTTTATAAAAATATCTATATCTATATTTCGCGTTCTTATAAATAAAAAAATATATAATTATGTATGTACTTTATTACAAGTATAGATATAAATAAATTATAGTAATACAATCAACATATAATATAATTAAACGCATATACATCCATAAATAATAGATATTTGAGTGTCACTAGTACTAAAGATGATTGACTTGGTACTAAATAAAGTGGAGAACATGAGTGAGGGTTTATTGTGATTCATCAGCACGGCCAGTAAGAGGAGCCACTTCCTTCAGCTTTTCTTCAAACTACCACCAACCAAAAAAAGACTAGAAACACATCAGCGGGATTCCCCAACATTCCTCCACTTTCCTCTTTCTCTGCCTTCCCTTATTGATCCGTTTGTCCCGTCTGTCTCTGCGGTGATGTGATGTAGTGTGGTGTTCAGTGATGGTGGTCTGTGTGTGTGAGTGTGTGTGTGTGAGTGTGAGTGTGTGTGTTTGTGTGAGTGTACGTGTACGTGTGTGTGTGTGTGTGTTTGTGCGTGTGTGTGTGTGTGTGTGTGTGAGTGTGTTTGTGCGTGTGTGTGAGTGTGTTTGTGCGTGTGTGTGTTTGTGTGAGTGTACGTGTGTGTGTGTGTGTGTGTCTGTGTGTGTGTGTCTGTGCATGTGTGAGTGTGTGTGTGTGTCTGTGTGTGAGTGTGTGTGTCTGTGCGTGTGTGTGTGTGTGTGTGTGTGTGTCTGTGTCTGTGTGTCTGTGCATGTGTGAGTGTGTGTGTGTGTCTGTGTGTGAGTGTGTGTGTCTGTGCGTGTGTGTGTGTGTGTGTGTGTCTGTGTGTGAGTGTGTGTGTGTGTGTCTGTGTCTGTGTGTCTGTGCATGTGTGAGTGTGTGTGTGTGTGTCTGTGTCTGTGTGTCTGTGCATGTGTGAGTGTGTGTGTGTGTGTCTGTGTCTGTGTGCGTGAGTGTGCGTGTGTGTGAGAGTTTTTCCTTTAGAATACTGTATTTAACGTTTGTAAACCTCGCTTGACATTTTTGTAAGAACTATTCCATTAAAATCGGATTGTTTTTTTTTTGACACGACTAAATAAAGTAGTTATACTACAATTCAGTCCTCTCTCCGAGGTAACCTGAGTCTGGTTTGGTCAGTCATGCGGAGAGTTTCTGCTCTCTGACCAGTAATAAGCAGCTGTGAGAGAGAAAGCGGCCGAGAGACACAGAGAAACTCAGAGAGAGAGAGAGAGCGAGTGTCTGACGCCGGCTCAACATGGGTGGCATTCAGCAGGAGGAGGAGGAGGAGGAAGAGGAGGAGGAGGAGGAGGAGGAGCGAGAGACTGGATCTGACCTCATCATTAATAACCATCATTAAACTGAAAAGAGCCAAAATGAACCTAACCATGACCATTAGATTTAGAAACCGAATTATATAAATATAATTATATTTCTTTGTTTAAAAAACTGCAAAGTTCAAACTATAATTCTAATGATTGCGTTGCAGTTTCTAATAAAGTTATAAAATAATAATGATCAGAGAGAATGAGCCAAATACTTTAAATTGACAATTACCTTGAAAAATACCAGCCATGAATCATTCTAAATAATTAAAAAATATTAATAAAAAAAATAAGCAATTGTTACAATTTTTAAATATATATTTTAAACTTTTATACATATGCATATGCACTTTTTTAGCACTAGTTAACGTATAGTTCACTAACTGCGACAGTGACATTAGTCGATATATTTATGGATTCACAAACTTTTTTGTTGACTGAATCCATTTGATGTAAAATATTTACTTAAAGTACACCTGAGATTTTACGTTAATATTTCGAGCACATTCACATGTTCTCTGATGTTGGTCAATGGCCACATTAAACAACAAAGAATATATTATGTTTTAATATTATATTCAATAATTAATATTTAAAGTAAATATTATTTATTTCTAAAATATTATTACATTTATTTAAATAAATTGAATTGTGTTTGTCTTATAATTATTTATGCAAAGTTGATATTTTTTTATTTAATTAATTGTTAACTTATCAACTCACAAACCCTAGTTTTGGAAACTCTGTGCAGAATTCCAGCAAAAGCATTACTTTTGTTACAGAATCAGCAGTTAATCTATACAATTTGTGTTATCTAACTATAAACACACGAGCTTCACACTGAACAGGTTTTGTTTGTTTGTTGGTTGGTTTTTGCTCTACCTGTCTGTTCATGTGGAGGACTGCTGATATGAATCAGATGTGTTTTACCCAGAGTGCATGGGATTGTGGGTAATGTGAGAGATCGTACCCTCGGCTAGGTTGGTTGGCGGTGTTGTTGTAGTGGTACAGCCCCTGATGCGGCTGCATATCCACTGGCATTGAGACGAACACACCTGCTACAGCCACAGACCTCTGCAGGAACACACACACACACACACACGACAGCGTTAGACCTGATGCAACACACAGCACAGCTCATGCACACTGAGCTTCATAATACTGTGTGTTTTCATCATGCACCTTTCTTTAAAGTCAATAGGAGCATATTAAAACAACATGGTTTGAGTACCAACATAGTAGTTTAAGTAAAGGACATTTTTTTGGATATGCAATACACAGGCTGTCATGCAAGCATGTGTGTGTGTGTGTAGGTGTATATCTGGTAACGTGTGCTAATGAGTTTCAGGCGCTAAATAGAGATCTTGTATGAAGCCACAGCTGCCCGACCCAATAAATACCATGAGGGAGGTCTACACACACACACACACACTCACATACACTCATAAACACACACACACACACATACACACACACATACAC